ACTGGATATTGTCGTTGCGAATTATGGCAACAATCAATTAGGTGTTCTTCTCGGGTGTAGCAATGGCACCTTTTTCAGTCAATTGACCTATTCGACTGGGGATTATTCTGAGCCATGCCATCTTGCTGTCGGCGATTTCAATAACGACAATCGAATGGATGTTGTCGTTGTCAATTCAGGCAGTAATAATTTAGGCGTATTTTTTGGCTATGTTAGCGATACTTTCTTAAGTGCACCAGCTTATTTGAGTGAATCTTCGTCTCATCCGACTTGCATTGCTCGTGCAGATTTCAACAATGATACTCAAATGGATATTGTTGTCACTAATAATGGTACGAATAATATAATGATACTATTTGGATCAGGCTATGGTACTTTTATCAGTCAAATGACCTATTCAACTGGCGTGGGTTCTCAACCATCATCAGTAGCTGTTGGAGATCTTAATAAAGATGGTCGATTGGATATTGTCGTCACTAATTCAGGTACCAATAATATTGTTGTTTTTCTTGGTAATAATATAAGCAGCTTTTCAAATCCAATGACGTACTCTACTGGTCTTCGTTCTCAACCAAACGCAGTAGCTATTGTGGATTTCGACAATGATGGTCAACTGGATATTGCCGTAGCTAGTTACGGTGCGAATAGTATGGGTGTTCTTTTAGGTTATGGCAATGGTAGTTTTATGAATCAATTAATATTTCCTACTGGTTTTGATTCACATCCGATTGCACTCGCTACTGGTGATATCAACAAAGATAAACTGACCGATATTGTCGCCGTTAATGATGGTTATGGTAATATAGATATTCTTATGAAGACATGTTAATATGTGTCCTTTCACTTGTTTTTTTTACTTCTGTTTCATTTTTTTTTGTTCTGTGTCAGAGAGAATGTGTTGGAATGCATGTATGCATGAGAGAAGACGTTAGCAGCGATGGATATGTACTGTTCTGTTCTGTGTGTTTGTTGTGTGTGATATGTCATCATTCTTTTTATATGGATTAGTGTTTGGTTATGGGATAAACTAACGTCTCACAATATAATACTACTTATTTATACTTCTGTTTGTTTGTTGATTTATTTGAACTATATATTGCTTAAATATTTATAAACTATCTAACGATTCATTATTTTATAACTGCATATCTAAGTGGAAATGAGTTGCTTAAAATGACTAAATTCAACTTCAAAGATTTGTTTGCTCGATAAGAACATATGGTCAGTATGAATTAGATGAATATTCTATTGAAGTGATAATGGTATTATACAGATGTCACTTAATTGAGGATGTGGCATGTGGTTGAGTGTAAAGAGATGGATATGACTATGAGCATTTTATTCTTTTCATCTGTACTCATGTGCTGTAGCTTCCTGCTAAAATTTTGCTTAACCTTGAGAAATCCTAAAAATATCAATTATTCATATGATGAGGATTCAGAGTTTGCGATAAAATGATATCGGCTTAAAAAACAAATATGTAGACAAATAAATCGTATACTAGAATAGATAACAACATTTTATGTCAATCTTTTGAAGAAATAATTGATTTGAGT